AAAAGATAAATTGTTTTCGGTAAGTCTGCTTTCAGGGACCTTGCCAGAGTACTGAAGAACAACAAAGATGTGCCTGTTCCAGGCCAAAGTCTTCACAATTACTTGCTGTACATCAGAAAGCTGGACAATGACTAGGTTTGATAGGAGAACGGATGCCTTTGGAAGAAGGATTCTGAAACTTTGTCTGACGTACTCTGGGCATGTTGCAAGGAGGGACCAGTTCTTGGAGAGTGACATCATGCTTGGGTGAGTAGAGGGACAGCACAAGACAGGAAGACTCTTGATGAGATAGATTGATTCAGTGACTGGGGAATTGGGGTAGTTGTGTCAGAAACAATATGGTTGGCACAGGATAGAAAAGTGTTCAGAGCTGTTGCACATACCATAGGGTCGCTATGAGTTGTAAGAGACTCCATGGCACATAACAAAAAATATCAATCAAACTACGTGTACTTCCATATCTCACTAAAACACATTCCTTCTCAATGATTTATAGTGCAATAAATCAGTCTTTTTGTCCCTTTTCACAGACTTTCATCTTTCTCTACTGTTAAAAAGGAGAAGTCACAGTGGGAAAGTTTAACAGCACAGCAGGTAATAATGTTGGAGAGGATGCGGTGAGATAGGAACTCCTTTACATTGTTGAGGGGGATTGTAAAATGGTGCAATCACTCTGGAAAGCAGTTTGGCATGTTCTCAAAAAGCTGACGATAGAAATTACATATCACCAAGCTATTTCAATGAGAAGTGAGGCACAAATGGAGACTTGTACACCAGTGTTCATAGCAGCGTTATTTACCATTGCAAGAACATGGAAACAGCCCAAATGTCCAACCACAATCAAATGGATTGAGAAATTATGGTACATTCACCTAATGGAATACTATGCAGCACGCAGGAGCAATGATTTTATAACTCACTTCCTAACTTGGGAGGGATTGGAGAGAATTAGGCCAAGTGACCTAACTCATGCGCATAATGACAAATACCGTTTACGATTATTATTGTAGAACATGTATGAGGATCGGGGATGGGAGGGAGCAGGGGGTGAGGATGGGTGAGGAGGGGGACGGTCACCATAGTGTCCCACAATTTGATGGGTGGAGAGAGAGGTAGTTAAAGGAAATGGGAAAGATCCCATTTAGAAAAAAATGTATATGAATTTTCTAAGTAAACCAGTATAAAATAAAAATTGTATTATAAAGGATAATTTCTCTCCATATGTTGACACACAAGTGTCCTTTACAAACAGTAATAATAGTAATAACTTAAGGAAGCTCTATTCAACTGATTTCACATGCAAGCAAGATTGTACTGAGGATTATCCAAAAACAACTGGAACAGCACATCAACAGAGAATTGCCAGAAGTCCAGGCTGGGTTTAGAAGGG